GAAATACACTCGCAAAGTAACTGTGGAATGAGCGGACACTCGAAGGAACCTCGAACATAGCTATGGAAAAATACCTAACCACTTCAGTGGAAACAGTAAGAATAAAAATACCTCGCATTGAACCCTTTGTCGAAGAGCATGTTTCATCTTAATGAACCGTTCTTATGTTGAAATTGGTAGCTTAAAATAGTAATAGTTATTATAATTTTGACTTTTAATTATCGTCAGCTTGTTATCGACTTTGTTGCAAAGAAAGCCACTTTTTGCTGAAACTATACCTTTTTTATTTCAAAAGGTGGCCAGCGTCGCTTTGATTATTTGAAAACTATATACACCGTTGATAGAGCCTGGCTTGTAACTCTGAAGAGAAGATGATGGAATATGAAAAATTGCGCGTTTGGCTTGAAACTTTAAATCACCAGCTCGCACTCACCGACCGAAGACTTTCACGAAGTGCATTATGGTTACAAACCTCCATGGAACAAACGCAAATACCTCAAAAGGCAGCAGTAAGTTTGGAAAAGAAGTTCGCACAAATATCCAGAGATTTGGCGGAAACGGAAGCAGGAATCATGAGAGCGTAGAAACATTGGTTGAAAAAGATGGAAACTATAAGAAGAAGAGAACACCTCTCCGATCAAAACATAAAGTCAGGTAAACAGGGTCAAAGTCGCTGAAGGATAAACTATTTAGTGCAACAACCTGCTGATGAAAAGGATGACACATTTGTTGGGTAAAAGTAAATTCTGTCTTCGTTGATTTTGTGATGGAAAATGCTCTGATCGTTCTAGAATACCTAAAGGTTCTACGACGAAAAAGAGGAACTTTGATTTCGGAATAGCGCCAATTGTAAATGATGTATATTTACAGCATACGCACCTTCTTCTGCATCAGCTCTTTCCACAGATATAATAAAAATACATTTCTGTAAAGCAAAGAAACCTTTTATGTCATGCATGAAAGTCTATTACTGCTCTCAGTTACAGTAATCGAGAGCAAGCGAACACACTACAGTTAACACTAGTTTAAGGATTCATTCTACTATCTTTAAACACGGTGACCATTCCTCTCACTAGACTGATCCAACAGARTTTTAAAGGATCTGGTTTGATTGTCACAAAATGGAAATTACAATTTTCCAAGTCAACCGCGTTACAGTCATTAAAGTTTACGATATCCTTATATAATAATATTTTACTTAATGTACATAAATTCTTGATGTAGGTTGTAATTTTTTATTGAATATTTTGTTGTGGGTTTCCTGGAGAGTAGGCTGATAGTTTCTAAAGAAACTATTTGGGGCTGCGTCGGTGGGGGTAACGAAATAATTGTGGGTTGTGTGTGCTTTTAAAGGCAGAAATTTTCTGCCTTTAAAAGCACACACAACCCACAATTCCTCTATTCGCTCCGACGAAGGGCTAACGCTCGAAACGTCAGCTTTTGTAATCGTTACGATGGCCAATTTACCATTTAACTTTTGTTGATATATCCAAATTATTTCCTGGAAAGTAGCTTGTAGCTAAGTGTGGTGCTACATTAAATAAAGAACAACAACAACTACTACTACTACTACTACTACTACTACTGCTACTGCTACTACTACTGCTACTGCTACTGCTACTGCTACTGCTACTGCTACTACTACTACTACTACTACTACTACTACTACTACTGCTACTGCTACTNCGAAGGAAGGGAAAAAAACCGGGAAGGTTTGGGTCGGGTCGCGTACTTAATCTCAAGACCCGACCCAATCTTCCCGGTTTTTACTTGAAGTAAAATGACCAATCACCTGTTTAGTTTCCATGATCACGTGAGGAATCGTTATCTTCCACAAGCTGAGGTCACGCGTCTCCTTTTCTTCCACTCCTTCATTTTCTTCTTCACTTTCCCAGTCACAATCCTTCAAACAAATGAATAAAAATTCGTTTTCGAGCTTTTGCAAATCACGAATTGATTTCAGGATCAACATCGATGACCATGATTCAATTGCTCTGTGATCCTTTCATTGTTCATCTACATTCAAACAATTCCAAATCGTTTACACTACTAAGTTAGTTGGTGAAAGTTGTAGAGTGTTACCGGAGGTGTGTCTGGGATATCAAACGGGTCGTCTTCATACGGTGAGTCATCTAGAGCGTAAAACAAATGAAATGAGGTAAAAACTTCAAAGGATTTTCACTCACCACATAATTTGTTGCTGACTTTGCACTATCTTTAGCGAATGTACTTGCGCAAGTACTTGTAGATATCAACTGAAAAAATTTTCCCTACAACTTATAGGGAACTTGTAACTTTAATGATTAAAGAGAGATTCCATCGCTGCTGCGTAAAACTGTAGTCAAGAGCTTTTGTTGCCCACAAAATTTTCAATTAAAGTAAAATATGGCAAAACGGGTACATCTGCTGTAATTTAATGCGTATGGCACGTTGACTGCTGCTTCAAATACTTTTCAGTCTTGCTGGGAGCACACAAATCAACTTCACCGTTACTTACCTTTGTTTGGATTCATTACTTTATCTTTCAACTTTCCAGCTAACCTTGAAAACTCTGCCAAAGGATCAAACTTTTTCTTTGAAGCCCTGCAACAAATGGAAAAGATCAAGAACCCAAGAAAGTTCGGATAGGGCCACGTGCTCGAATGTAGTGAGCGTCATTTGTTAACTATGATATAGCTAAGCAATGAAAATAAAAAAGGAAGGGATTAAGGAAGTTTCTATTTTTTTTTACCTTGAAGTCGGTTTGTTTAAAGGTTTGGCTGGCAATCGGCTTCCACACAATAGCGTAAAATACTGCAGATTGAAACAAATTCATGGAACTCAACACTGTAAATCAGTGTTACGCGGCGACATTCAAGTCAAGGATACGTTAGATTAATTATCATCAAGACTGCTGAAAATGCCTAGTTTCGTGCGAACATTTCTTTACGATAACGAAAACGACACGGAGGAGGTGTACATTTATCTCTCACTCTTCGTAACAACAACCGTACAAACAAACAAACAAAGTGAAAAAAAGATATTTGCAGTTAAAGAAAAAACAAGACGTAACAGTAATTCCTTCTAATTTGCCGTTTTCCCTTCAACCTAAATAAACTCGCCTTCACTGTATCATATTCTTTCATTCTTAATTTATTTAGGTCTCCTTTAACTCTGTCTTCCATGTCAGTTTTACAACGCAGTTCTTATTTTGGTACATGTCAATAATAATATCTCAATTTTAAAAGGCCCGTTAGAGGTGATTGAAGTATGTACAGTATGCGTATCTTTAACTGTATCTCCCGCTTTTTTCGTTTTTAACAATGAAACACTGAAATACTTACATCATCGCTCTGGTAAAATAGAGGTAGAAACGTTGTTTCTAGAAGATTGTAGGCATACTCACAGGCCCTGAAACATTGATGGGGAACTAATCACAAATGCAACATGTAGATCCGATCGAGTGTAGAGTAATGTAATCAGATGTTTATCAGGTTGGCACAAATAACGATGAACTGTGTTTAGTTAACACAACCATGATTAATAAAAATACATAAAAAATCTACATTTACGCGTCTGCGTCCAAACCAGCTGAAGGTGGCTTCGATTATTGCGATCAAAATGAACGTACTTGGAAAGAAAGGATGCTATTTTCAGTCTCTCCATCTTGTCAACAGGAGCATCAATACCTAACATGGCAGAAACGCAAAAATCGCTAACTTGCTCGCACTGCATGTCTACATTCGGTAAAATATAAAATACGAGGTTCAACAAAAAGAATACGTGGTATCACAAAATCCTAATTAAACTTTGTACTGTGCAATGAAATTTTGGTCTAGGATCTGGCTTGTTTCTCGTCACAGCTAGAAGCAGTTTAAAACTCGGAAACAAATCTGTTAGGTATAGGTAGGTTTCATCGCCAGCCTGAGAATTTCATTTAGCTCAATTCAACGTTTAAAGACTTACATTCTTGTAACCCTTGAACCATTTCTGGATCAAAGTTTATTCTGTCCACAGCCCCAATGTCAAAATATGAACTGAAGATTTCTCTGACCTGAGCAACCAAAGATAACAATGATCTCAAAACACGTCAAAAGATACAAACCACGTTAAAAATAATGATTGGGTAACGAAAGCTGTTAAGACACATGCGTATCTACCTCTTTTAAAATAGATGCTTTCTCTTTTTCTGTTTCTTCAGAAGCAAAAATTCTTTTATTGAAATCCTCTGCAACATATAAACAGACAAATGTAAAATCATTAAACAACAAGTCGACAAAAAAAACAACAAAAAACAAAAACAAAAACAAAAAACAAAAAGCAAGTTCAATAGAACAAATTAATATTCAACGATTACTTTTGTAAGTATAATTGCTCAGATGGGTTCGAATTCTGTTGTAAATTCTGTAAATAAAGAAAATATTGCGTTTTTTTAACATTTGCGGTAATTACTCGAATCAAATTAAGCGATGAGTTTACAGGTTTATTTAATTCAATCATCGTGTATTTCTTTTGAAAAGCGTTTGTACGCTTCGCAATTGAATTTTCTTCTATCGCGTTTTTCACTTCCTCGAAAATATCGACGGAACGCGAGGCAGCCAATTGAAATATAGCACCCCCGCTATAATCACCTCGCGCGGGGTGACTATTGCAAGATATGACGCAATCCTAGACCAATCACAGCGCGCATTTCTATATTCACCTGAGCAATTACATTAAACATTAATATCGAAAGAAAGAAAAAACATTATAGGCAAATCTAGATGTTAAGTGAATATAACACACCGGCAGTAAGGCAGAACTGTAGAATGTTTAGTGCTCCCTCGCTTTTCATAAACTGCATGAAAGGAAACAGGGCGGACTGACTGTGAAGTATGTCTGCTATGGACAGATGAAGAGCCTACAAAAACAAACACACAAAGAAACTAAATGGCTCATATTCCTTGGGAAACAACTTTATTAGCCCTGGGCAGTTGACTGACATTTGGCTGACAGAATTTATGATCAGGTAATTTCGGTTTTATCAACTGAGTTGATAATGTAAATTAGCCAACGTAGAGAGTTTCAAAGGTGACGTTTCGAGCGTTAAACTTCGTCAGACAAAGCCCCCAGGGTCATTTATCAATCCCTTAGCGGCTCCTGGTTTTTTCAGTAAAGAATCCCAAACAGATTCACTGTCTTGTTTATATTTTGTTGTGTCGAGTGAGCGTGGTGATGACTTCAATAATAAGTGCAGTCAATTATTTCCAGATAGGACACAACACTACAGTGTGTGGGGTGACCTTAACAGTAGCATAGAGTATGAATTTTATTCTGTCAAAACTCAGATTGTTCTTTTTAGCAAAGTCTAGGATCCATGACGTACCGAGTTCACGACTGGAGTCCTTGGTTTCGCAAACTTCGCTAGTAATGGAACTTTGGGAGACGCTGGCTCTTCTGAGGCGACCATCTGTAACAGGACAACGAGTTTGGTTTGAATAACATTAGGAGGACACCATCGACCAATATAAAATATAAAACAACAACAAAGTGACAAGTTCAAAAGAAACACCTACTGGTTCTTTGTCCAAAATTAGAAGAAGTATGTTATTCACAAAATCCTGAATAGTGAAATAAAGATCGAAGTTATCGTAAAATAAATGCAGTGATTGAAAATTGAAGTAGTGCATGTAAACATTAATCAGATTTTATCAAGTAACTTACGGGATCTGATAGTTTGTCAACTGCTGTTAAAAAGACTGCACTGGCTAACAGTTCTCGAAGTAAGGATAAAAGACTCCTGAAATTCAACAAGATATGGTTAATAGGGTTGATAATATGGTTAACAGGGTTGATAATATGGTTAATAGGGTTGATAATATGGTTGATAGGGTTGATAATATGGTTAATATGGTTAATTGAGAAAATGTTAAACCTCAATTTAAAGAAAACTACTTAGAAAATGTGTTGCTTAGGTTACCTTTGTGGTTTATTCAAGAAAGCAATGTTATGGCCACAACATACCTACACTGCAAGGAATTTGGAGGCAATAAAACAGGAATAATGGACTCAGACAGTTTCCTCAGATAGTGAAGTTCCATTTGACGACTCTGTAGTGCACAATGCAACTTGGGTCCAAAGCGATCTAAAATGGCTGCCTGGATGTTGGCTACAGAGCCTGATGCTGTGACTGAATGGCATTCAACAAACAATTACTTTAATGCAGTGCTCCACTATCTTTATCATTCTTATTCCATATAGATAAGGAGAGTTGCTAAGTGATACCTTTCTGTTTTGTTGTTAAATACATTTCTAAATGCTTCAAGCCTTCTTTGCCAACATTGTTAATAACAAAAGTTGGGATATCAACCTGAGGAGAGAATATAATTATTTTATATAATTATTTAACCATATAGATGCAGTAGTTTGTGTACAGTCCTCGGAAGTGTTACTTAACTACTAGTAGGCTGAATTCCCACACCTGGTGGTATGTGTCATACAGATAAGTTAGTTGTTTGTTTATTTTTGCCTTAACTAAGATTTCAAACATTGCATACCCAAACCAGTGTTTATAGTTTTTAGCACCTAAAACTTACCTTATGTATTCTCTTTAACAGCACTGCTGCCATGTATCTGATGCTTGTACGGATTTCATCCACACATATTTCGCTACAGCTTAACTCCCTACCGGGCAGTGATGCAAAAAACAATTAAGGCAGACCTACTTTTAGCCACAGATTTACTTAATATAAACAATATACATGTACATGCATGATCCATAACTGGTATAGGCCAACTCTCTATTAATCATTAGTGATGATTTGAAGGTCAAAATGATTACAAGAAAACTGTTAGTTTTTATCTAATTGCTACCTTAGCCTAACTTGCATATGAATGTAAAGAGACAGCTGGGATATACAATCAAAATGTTGGATTTGAATGTGACATGTCTGTGTGTATTTAAGTGGAGACTCAGTAAAATACCTGGAGTAACTTAAAGTAAACTTATGATATACATATTTACATTTTAAATCAGTTTTCTCTTCTATCATTAAAAATGAAAAGTTTGCAAATTTTTTAAGATGTACCTGTACCAGCTGTATACATAGTTTTGAAGTAAGAGACCAAGAAACTGAAAATTAAAGGATATAACAGTTACTATATATGAAATAAAATCAAAAAACGTATTATACCTGGTGACAATGTAATGTGTCTGATGAGTGATTTACATAAATACAAGTCAGTAATCACATTCTATGACATACCTCTTGTAATGCAGCATCTACAGATTCTGGAATAAGAAGATCTTCCCATGGCTACAGGAAAAAAGAGAAGAAAGATTAGCAAAAGACTCACTTTGTTCACTTTAGTTAGTTATTAAATTTAATATGGGGAATACAATTGGAAGGGAATTTCTTCTAGAAAGAAGTTATTCCCTGGGTTGCCAATAATCTTAACTGGAGCATTCAAACAACACCTTACACAGTACATCATACAGCCACTTTTCAAAGTCATAAAATTTTACACAAGTCACACCAACAAATGTGGTTAAAAATAACATTTGATACTAATTAACTTCCAGAAGTGATTCACATCTAACTTCTCCAAGCCTATAGTATCCCTGTCCAGCATACAGGTAATGAGAATACTCAAATTTATCAAGTAGAAATTGTTAACTTCATCTAACACCAAATTCCTATGACTAATTTACTTGGAAATGGGTAGCAGCCAGAAGGGAGAATTGATAATCAGATCTTGGGAGTTAAAGCGCAAATGGGGAACTGAAGCATCCCAAGCTATGACATTCCATTCCATGTACAAAAAAGTGTACTTTCACCATTTGAAATACTTTTCATAATGTCAGAAACAATGTTAGTCTGCAAAATTACCCAGTGTTTGGGAATTGTGTTGACCTTTAACTCTATTACTTATTATTGCCAGTGTGAATAGACTAAATTATCACATTGTAGTTACAATTATACTTTTACCTTAAGCTTGTCCCTTGAAATCTCCGGTCTTTGTGCATTAAGAGGGAAATAATATAATTATTTAATAGACAAGAAAAATATGTACATCAAAGAATTTAGTTATATAAAAAAATGAAGAGTACCTGTGTTAATTGAGTGGATCAATACAAAAAAATTCTTTACAAATATATTTGGTATGCAAAGAAAATGAATTTGTGATGTTGTTATATACCTGTGACGTTGGCATCTACTATTACCACAAATGGTACACTGCTTGGATGAAGATGTCTGTAACTTTTCACCCTCTTCACTATACTAAAAAAAACAAAAAGCAAATTTTAGAAACCATCTATAAATTAACTCATTTTTGAAATGTATATCTATATTCATTTTCACTCTCAATTTGATTAATAGCCCACAGCTTCAATCAATTGGCCTGAATGTACAATGCCACTGAGGTCCTGAAGTACAAACATTTGATATTGTAATCAGTAAAAAGCCATAATTCTAGAAATACATCTACCTTTTTAGGAGGGCCCCAGTGCAATAGTAGGGAGGGCAAAACTGAACAATAACTGAATAAAAAGAAGTCACAATACACAAGTGTCAGTGAAATATAAGAACTACCAACTTAGAAGCCTTGTTGCTAAGGTAACAAATCGGAAAAAATTTCATGCACACTTTTTGAAGGCACAAATTACATTTTTAATCAAAGTTTTAAAAACTTTTTTTGAAACATGCATTTCATATAATGCAGGTCTCTTTATCCTGGTTAAATGAAACTTTGGTCTATTTAGACTTGAGCCAGTGCTTGTCATCAGCATATCTGGGTGGGCATACCCTTAAAATCATGTCCAGATTTAGCAAGTAGGTTTTGCTTTCCAGCTGTACAATGTTATAAATAAACTATTGCCCCGTATCTGATGCACAGTGTAAGATTTGAATATCTATGGGTATTATGATCACACTTTACCTAAACACCAGGAATCCTACTGCAACTCCAAAGGCAAGAATCCATATTCCAATGACTAATGGTGGACAACTATGATGAAAACACGTGATAACATTTTTGTTTTAAGAAAAATCCATGACCCCATACCAATCTTCGTAGAAGGACCAAGAGCGGTATCACAGTTGATCCCGTTTCCAATGGATCTCGATCTCCCTAAATTATTCCGCCAAAACCCTAACATACCCCCTTTCCAACTTGCACCCTTCACCAATAGACCCAATATCATCTACAAAGCAGCTTACGATTTGTCATATGATCTCAGCATAATTTAGTATTAACGCGGAGCAAGTGAAAATAAGAGTTCTTACAAATTTGCTAACTTTATAAGACCATACTCAACTAACAGCTTCGAAATTAAAAGTGAAAAAGAGAGTACAACCATAGACATACGTTTGTGATCACTGACCTTTATGAGCTACTTACAGAACAAACCGGTCATTAAATCACAGCTCGTTTTGGGTACGGTGACGATTAAACGATAAATACGAAAGAAATGGAATAAATTACTAACCTGTAAAATTGAAACGTGAAGATAATCACAAAAAATGCTCCTGAAGCCAAAACTGGTCGAATTGTTTCTAAATTTTGACGATCTAATCTGTTCATTTCGAAAATGACACCAGAACATTTTACTAGTTCCGTCGTCCTGTTCATGTAACTTCCCTTGAAAACTAAGTAAGGACAGGTTCAACTCGCTTACACAAAGGAGTAATCACTATTCTCTACCCAGTCTCTTCGCAGGTTAAAATCCAATATGGAGGACAAGAAGTCGGTAGGTTGTATATAACTTGGCTATAAAACAATACTTAATACCTCAATAAGGTGCACTTTCACTTTGAAACTTCTTTTTGAAATTGATTTATTTCGATGATATTCACCTAACACCATTTTCACCCACCTTTACGTAAAATATAATTGCAGAAGAGAGACACGTGTCCTTCGTGTAAACAGCTGATATTTAATTACTCCTAAATTAAGAAATGTTAGTCCAGTTAGTCTGTCAGTGGTGAGAGTGATGTTAAATACCACAAGAACAATTTAGAAGAAGGTGTTTTATCTGCTGGTATTT